TCAAAAATGATCATGTTATTAACCATTTTAATAATTTTAAGTTTTTTAATAATATGATCGTTTGGCCGACTATATAACATATCATTTTTTGTTAAATTGTATTATAAAATAAAACACAAAATTTTTTCCAAACAAGAATAATTTTAAAAAACCAAAAATGCGACAAAGTTGTAAAAGAATTTTTGTTTATGCCGAAAATTAGAAAAAAGTAGAGGTTCGCGGTTATTAACTTCTAGTTAATAACTTTTAACTTTAACTGAAATTAAAATTGTTTTTTGAATTTAATAAAAATGTTATAAAGATGGTCAAACATAATTACCTTTTGTAAAATTTTGTAACAATACAAATTTAAATAAAAGTGGTAAAACAAAAAATATAAAATACAATAAACTTTAAATGATATTTTAAAAACATGTTGTATAAATAAAATAATAAATAATTCCCAAAAATGTTTATTTAATATACAAAATGTTTTAAATATATTCATAACAAAATTAACAAAATCAAACTTTTCAAACTTTGCAAACAAAAATCAGATGGTATATATTTCACAAATATTTCACTTTAAATTAAACAAGAATGATTATTAAATTCAAAAATATATAAAAATATTATAATTTGTTGAATTTTTAAATTTTATAAATATAGGTACGCCACAGAGCCATTACCGGCGACAGAAAGGTTACAGAACTAATTGGAAGATTTCTATGGGTATTGATAAATTTTTGAAACGTTTTTACCAAAATGAAAATATGCCAAGATTAAAAAAGTGTGTTCTAAAAATAAAAAAACTTCTTTTTTATTTTTGGTTTATAATTAAAATAAATATAAAATTAAAAACAACGAAAAATAAATCAAATTATAAGCAATATATGGGTTTGTTGTAATGTAATATAAGAAATAAAAGTGGGCTCGATAAAGCCGTGTTGAGCTGTGTTGACTTTTGATCTTTTTTGTTTCTTATACTTTAAATTGTAGTTTGAGGGTTTTTCATTATAAGTATTATTTTATTGTTTTATTTTTAAAATAATACCATATCTTAATTTTTTTATTTGAAATATTTTGACAAAAATGGTTAAAATTTGATTTCAAAAATAATATTTTTTATTAATTACAATTAATTTTTTTGTTTTTATTTAGAAAATATTAATGATGAGTTACAAACTTTTCTTTTCTTGTCACTTTGATATGAAAGCATTTAGAGCATTCCTCTCGTCGAGATTCAAGAGAGGAATGTTACCTTGTTATTTAAAGTACTGAATATCTTTTTCAATTCTGACCCCGCGATTCTCCCTACTCCCATGAACACGTTAAAATCTTCAATCCGCCCTTTGCGGGTAAGTGGGAGATCATAGAACTCAGACAACATGATCTCCACTTGTTCTCTCACAAATTGTTGTTGATTCACTTCTTCTTCCAATGCTTTGAATCTTGCAAAAAATTCGGGCTGGTTCTCGAGCCTCCCTCTTAGTCGGTCGGCATTGCACATAACTGCCGCTTTAAACACTGGTGGTTTTCGTTGGGTTTGATACTTGGGTTTCATGAATGGATTTCGAATGAAAGTTTTTCACCTTCGAGTTAAAAAATAATAGGAAAAAATCTTTGTTAATTGAAGGCATTTTAATTTTTATTTTCCGATAAATTTTTTAAGACATTTTAAATTATTGTTTTTACTATTATTTATTAAAAATGTCATCCAAATATTTCCAAACCACTACAATTCTTTCTAAAGACCAAAACCATTTTGTGTACATTTTAATAAAATAACCAATGTTGTTATAAAATCTCTTAAAAGTCTATCGAAAACAAAAAGATGATATTTTAAAAACTCTTTTATTTCACCCCATCACGCTTTCTAAAACAAACATCTTCAAGGACACCCTTGGTGTACACCCCGCTGTCAACACATCTAAAAGCACATAAACGACTTTGTTTGACTATAATTTATAACGGACGTTTTCAGGCCTGTCCAATTTGTTTTTTTCAGAAATACACACGAACTTTTTATCAAAATCTGGATTATCCCACGCACACACAATAATAAGTTATGTACTTCTCTCGAAGACTATTTTTTCGCTTTTTGACATGTATCTGAAATAATGCTTTTTTATTTGA